TTAATTTCTTTCTATTTTTAGCAGAGACGGGGATCTCGCTCTTGCTCAGGCTGGTCTCGAACTCCTGAGCTCAAGCAATCCGCCCGCCTCGGCCTCCCAGACAGCTAGGATTACAGGCGTGAGCCACCGTGCCCGGCCTCTATTTGTTCATTCTTGTCCAATTACTTCCTCAGGATAAAGTCCTATAGATGGAATTGTTGGCTCAACAGACACATTGCCAAACTTTCCTCAAGAAAGTTTATACCAACTTATTTTCCCACCAGCAGCATCACAATCGCAACTCTAAACATGATCAATTTAAGAAAATCTTTGTCTAAATGAGACACAAATGATTTCTATTTTTTGAATTTGCAATTATTTGATAACTAGTGAGGCCAAACATTTTTTATATGTTTAATGGTTACCTCTATTTCTTCCTTTGGTAAGTATACTTTTAATATGTTTACTTGTGATTTATAATACAAATAAATTATCAGCAGAAAGACTTCTAAAAGAAAAAAATCATTCTGGGGACTAGTTAACCTAGAGGATATTCATCTTTAAAAATAATTGCTATACTATAATAGGAGTCCTGGTTGCTGTGAACCCAGTTTTTATTTCCCACAATTTTTGTTAGAAACCTTTGGAGTCTTACATCTGATCAAAATAGCTTAATGATGCAAATAGTAAATACTCCTTTTGATTTTTGTTTTAATAAAATTGTTAAATATATCCTATCATTAAGACTTGTGACAAGATCACCACATTATATACATACCATGCCACTTTCCCTTGTAGACTGTTCCAAATGATCCAGATCCAATTCTTTGTCCCACTGTAATTTGGCCATCAGGAATCTCCCAGTCATCACTTGAATCCCGTCTACCAAGTGTTTTCTTGATAAAAATAGTATAACAATTCAAGCCAAGCCAAACAAAAAAGGAAAACTTTATATTTCACACTGAGTATATTACCCTATGCCTGAGAGGTACTTAAAGAGAATAAGATCTTTTTTTAAAAAAACACTGTGGTGGAGTAATAGTTAAAAATATGACTCTTAAAATATAGAACTTAAATTTAAGATTGAATTCAATATTAGGATGGAAAAAATGATTAAAAAATAGAAATTATTTATAGGGTATGTACAGAATTATTAAAAATCTATAAAATAAAACAGTTTTTATCATTTAGAGGACTACAAGGGAGAAGTACTTTACACGTGTGACTGGTCTGGGCTCCAAATCACAAAAATTTAAATTAACATATTATGGCAACTACTCTTTTCTAGTCAGCGCTAAATTTCCTCATATATCTTTTTTTTTTTTTTTGAGACAGAGTCTCACTCTGTTGCCCTGGGTAGAGTGCCGTGGCGTCAGCCTAGCTCACAGCAACCTCAAACTCCTGGGCTCAAGCGATCCTTTTGTCTCAGCCTCCCGAGTAGCTGGGACTACAGGCATGCGCCACCATGCCTGGCTAATCTTTTCTCTCTATATATATTTTTAGTTGTCCAGATAATTTCTTTCTATTTTTAGTAGAGACGGGGTCTCACTCTTGCTCAGGCTGGTCTCGAACTCCTGACCTTGAGCGATCCACCTCCCTCAGCCTCCCAGAATGCTAGGATTACAGGCATGAGCCACCGTGCCTGGCCTCCTCATATATCTTATCTGATTAAGTTTCTCAAAAAATAATCTCTCTATATAATTACCATAGTAAGGTAATGGACACACCTGTCCAACTTACACTATTGCTAAAATTATTAGATTTAATATAGATTCATTTTGCAGCAGAAAGTTAAATTTTCAAATACCAAGAATGCCCCTTGGTAGATACTTGAATTTTGGACCAGCCTTTAGAATGTATATGCTAATCATGCTTTCTAAACACTAGCTTACTCCCTTTTTCCTTATTTTAGAAACAGAACACTATTGTTACTCTTCCAAAACTGCCTTTCACTAAATTATATTAGAGATGAAAGCAAAATTCAGTGTTGTGGAAAAATGCTTTAAGCAAAAAGGTATCTGCTCTTAAATTTATTTGATTATGGGAATTCTGTGTCATATAAGGACATGGTCTATCTAAAAGGTGATACATTTGGCTATGACTTATAAAAAGAAAGAACTTAGAGGGGAAAAAAAGATATCATACACTCTTACCATTCGATTCCTGTCTTCTGAGGATGAAGATGATTTCCTTTCCCGCTGAGGTCCTGGAGATTTCTGTAAGGCTTTCACATTAGTGAGTGAGCCAGGTAATGAGGCAGGGGGTGTGGCAGATAAACCTGTGGTGGATCCTAAATTCGTGAAAGGAAAAATTATCCATTAAGGAAGAGTAAGCATGTTAATTTATCAGGGGGTACAGGGTGGGGGGAAATTTAGACTTACTTTAAAAATGTTCTGCAGGTTCAAATACAGACCTTTTGGAAAGAACAGGCCAAAAAGGGGCCTCATTTGGTGATTAGTACTATAATTTCTTTTAGTTTTCTGGCCACTTTAATGACCTTTAAGATATGTGATGATAAAGACATAATTTGTTTACTGGTACAAAGTCTAGAAGAAAAACAATTTCTCTAAAACAAGAGACAAGTACTAAAAAATACTCACAAGTTTCTGTTTCTTTGATTAAAAAAAAAAATCAAAAAGCAAAATTTAAAAGCCTACATAACAAATAAACTTTTAATTATTTTACATCACCTAAATAGCCAGTCAATATAAAAAAAGATGGAAACTCTAAATGGAAATATTTTCTAATATTGGCCTTAATGTTGAAAATATTTAGCTCTTTCATATTAGCCACTAATATAAAATTAAATTAGTTTAGGAATTAAATCTATATTTATGCTCTATATTTAAGAGATATTGGTCAGGGTCATTGGTTCCTGGAGGCTCGTTACACTAAATAAAGATTATTTGTTACCAACATAAAATTAATGTAAGCAAAGCCAAGTGGGTTCTCAAGGCTTTCTGAAAAATCTCTGCCTTTATAGTGTGAGTTAAGTAAGTGTCAGCTACCCAACTATAAATGCAAATAGTCTATGAGCCAAGTGAGCCTGAGGGTACACTCTTTGGAAGTGGTCTCAGTGGCAGGGTTGCATACCTTTCGTATGGGTACTTTTTCAAATGCTGACTCAGTGGCAAACATCCTAAGTTCACTTACAGTATGACCTGGTTCAGACAGGTTCAGGATAATGACTTGTAAGTGGGGTCTGAGTATAGCTGTGTATGACTGACATTTCCAGGTAATATTTCACATACAGAACAAAAAGACCTCAAGAAAATGATTTTTTAAAAAATGATTACTATTCTTGGGGGGAGAGGTAGGGAGAAGAGCCACCATCTTTCAAAGAACAAGAAAACTAATGACAACATTTAAATGTAAAATCTGTGTAAAAATTTTATCATTACTATATCATACTATATCATCATGTGGAATTTCTATGATTTCATATATAATTTTCTAAAAGAAAATAGTATCCAAAATGTCTATTAACTAGAGCACAATCCATTTTCTACCATCCGTTGCTAATTTTCAACATTATAAACCTTAACTGCTTGACCAGGCTTCACAGTTCTGATTTAAGTGCTGTGTTATATATGACAGCTTAATTATGTTACTCACTACTGCATGACTTCCATTCCATTTTATGGATTTTCTGAGAATCAGGTGGACTGAGAGAACAAGAACCTAAAGCACCATTACTATATTCAGAGTAAGTGACAGTTGCTAATTAGCAAGAGTCACTAAATATAACTCTTTAAAAATATTTATAGCA